AAAAAAAAAAAAGCAAAGAAAGGGCCGAAGGGGGGAGGGATAGTTATTTTTCAGGTTATTTTACCCTCCACAGTGTATTAAAAAGGTTTTGATTTTGTTCATGTTTTCTTTTAGAGGAAATTGTTACATGTCAGGAAAAATCTTTAGTCCCTTATAATCACCGAGGCCTTTTTGTATCTGTTCGTGTGTCTTTTTGTCTGTTTCTATAAACAGTTTGGTGCTGTGGCCTGTGCCGAGCCGTTGTAATCAATGGAAAGCTGATAAGGGCTATTTGGGGCTTAGGATCAATAATATCCTAGGTAATCCCGTCTGTTTTGAGATCCTGCCCTCACCTCTGTAGGAATATTAAAAGTGAAGGCCTGAAAAACATACCAGTACTTAACATATAATCTTTTAATTTTTGAGTGAGTCCACTGAACCTTGTTTTCTAGCTGGGGTCATACATAGAGGAAAGTCCATAATTGCTCTCTTTAATGTTTTCCAGGTTATTCACAGTTAATTCTCATGTCAACAGAAAGCTCCACTGTTACCGTTCGTCTCGTGCGCTCTTTTGAGCACCGGAATTTCAGGCCGGTGGTGTATCATGGCGTTAACTTGGATCAGACAGTAAAGGAGTTCATCACCTTTGTGCAGAAGGGTAAGGGGCTGCGCCCGTAGTTGTTTGCTTCAGTCCCGTATGTTGCTGTCTCTGCCAGAGAAAATGGCAAGGAATGGGAACATGAACAGGAATTAGAGTACTCTGTGGCTTTCCTAGAAAGGCCAGATCTGTATTTGCATCCCATATGTATTTGCCTCTCGCTGATGAGGACTGGTGTTTCTAAGGGTTTCTATGGCCTTTGCCACGTCTACATTTATGTAGACACTGCTGCCCCTGTCCAGACCATCGTGTTTAGTAGAAATGAGCCGAGGGCTGCGCTGTGCTCAGTGCCTCGCTCCCCTTGGGCAGCACTGCCAGGCAGCTGCTCAGGAGTTAGCAGAGGGAAGACAATTTAGAGAGCCCTTGATGCTTAGGAACTGCACCCAGACGTGCAGAGTTAGAACTAAGGGCTGGTGTTGGTTAAAAAGAGAGGATTTTGAAAAAGTGCTTTTGGCTTGTGAAACCTCACAAAGCACGTTTTTCTCCTGAACGCCTCTTATCTTGAGCTTTGTGGCGCAACATCATTCATCCATGGGCCTCACCTTTTAGCAGCTAGGAGTATTGCTACAGGTTAATTAATGTAGAGCAGCCCACGCAGCTGCAGAGCAGGTGGGGTGTCACACTAGGCTTGCAGACGTGCTCAGTGTGCCTGAATGGAGGCATTCAGAGGTGCAGAGCAGTAGTGTTTGACTCTCTGCATGATGTCAGCTTAAGCAAGTCTTGAACTGTTAACAGTAAATCACATTTGAGCAACTTCTAGGAGGTTGCCCAGGGCCTCACAGCTGTATTCTGTTTTCTGCAGCTTCTCACACAGTAAGAGGCATGGCTAGATCATAGGAAACCTTTGGAAAACTGTAGGCGCTTTCACACCCATGGCACAGCTTCTGTTTTGAAGAACAACACGAAAAACACTGCTGAGGAACTTGCTTTTGATGTGTGCAGTACTGCAGCTTTCTGTTATTTGAGACAAAGCTAGTGTTTGAGGCAGGCTTTTGGGAACATCATTCCACACATGGATACAGCCGTGCCTACTTCAAAAACAGTGCTCTTTCTTTTCCTGTAACCTTTTTGGAAGGAGTAATTTGAGATAAAATTTTAAGCTACTGATGAGAGACTGGTTTCAGTCTCTCAGTGCTGTCTCAGTGCTGAGTGCTCCAGAAGTGGCTCAGCCTTCCAAGGCCCAGGATAAATCCCTGGATTTTACTCAGATCACTGGCACCAGGGAGCATGTCAGTGTTCTTGCAGCTGCTCATGGGTTCTGCCCTGCATGCTGCTAAAGATCCATTTTCTGCAATTTGTCCTCCTTTTGGCGATGGTGTAAAACAGCCACAAAACCACATCCATGTTTACAGATCAGTCCAGTTATGGATAACTGTTGTTGGGGTGCTGTTTGTATAAGGTGGTGTAAGATGCTGGACTTCAGACTATAAAATCCATTATCGGGATGTTCTTGCCAGATTTCTGGAGGGTCAGAACCACATGACCGTGTCCCGATTGCATTTACAATCTTCCTGGGCAGTTAGGTTGAGTGGAACTGCACACTCAAGAGAATTTAGGCTGTTTTGCAGTAACTGTAGTATCAGACCAAAGGTTGTGTTTGTCTTTGGTGCTCTGCAGGAGCTTGAATTGCAATAGTGGTTTGAGATATGGTAACACACACTCTGACACCAGTAGTTTAAGCCTAACTAGTTAACAGAAATTACAACAAAATAATAAAGACAAACAGGTAGTATCATGATTCTGGTCAAAATAACAATAAACCTAGCTATCCAATAATTCTGGGATAGGGTTATAACCCTAGCGAGGTGTGTATGTTCAGAGCCACAGATACTAGGCAAGCTTGTAGGAACCAGCGCGTGGCTTCTTCAGGGGAAGCAACGTGGACGAGCTGATGAGCTCAGAGAATGACAGCTTCCCTGGCTGGAGTTTTATTTGTTGAGTCTCAGAAGCACTATCTACATTTATCAGCCTGCTATCACCTTGTTACATCTTCTGGAGCATTTTCCCCTTCTGGAGTTTTGCAACTCCTTGTGAATATGTTCATTTGTCACATTTTGGTTAATGGGGGCAAACTTTTTTTTTTTTTGGCAATGCATGGCTGTGATTAAAGCATGAGGCAATATTAGCTTAGTGTTGCATTAAAAATGCTCAAAAAAGTCTACCTTTTCTCCCTTTTAAATAATTTATTTTGATGTGACAGTCCAAAATGTAGGCACTGAACTCCTGTGCATTACTGGGGCTGTGGAGGAAGAGAGAGAACTTTGTTTTAACGTGGTGCTTTTATTTTCAGATGTGCCTTCGAGAACAGGACTCCCTCCTCCTTTTAAAAATTACAAGTATGGTAGGTGTGTTTATTTTTTTTATTCCTCCCACAGTTTAGAAGACAATAACTAGAATTTTTGGCTAGTATCTTCATGCCGTTTGCACTTCCTGCCTGAATTTGCAATTCTGTGTCCTGCTCTTGTAGCGGGGGTTGTACCACTGGAATCATACCGAAAACACTGACCATTATTTTAAACTTTTTTATTAATCTTTGAAATAGGCTTCAAATTATACATTTTTTGCTAGCTGCTGTTGGTGGATTTTTGGTATTAATTTTTCATTGCATTTATAAGTGCCTTTTAACTCTGTTCTGTAAGTTCTACAGAGCAGCTTGCAACCTCAAATGCTTTGAAATCGTACTTCTCTTTGTGTTTATATATTTAAGTATCTATTTACTAATTGTGAGATCAGAAATGATGGCAAAGCAGGCATTGAAGGCAGTAAATGGAAAATGCTGAAGACTGAGATACTTAAATAATTAACCTAGTGTGAGAGGAGGAGGGGAACATTGCTTGGATTAAATAGGAATGCTCTTAAATGCAAGTTGGCCGAATGAAGTAGCCCGATGTAAGAGTTGGGCTGAATTTATCCTCTGACATAAAGCCATGTGAATATTTGCTTTGAGTGAAGCTGGGATTGAACAGGTGCAGTTCATCCTGCTTGAGACAAAATATGTTTTTTAGGTGGACTAAATATATTCTTTTTGTAGAATTTGGCAACTTGGATGGCCCAAACTTGGCTGTTAGTTCACTACGGAGTTCACTATGGAGTTTGCTGCAAGTGATCTTCTGTCTCCCATGTTCCTGGTGGGGACAGTCAGCTCCTTCCTACACAGTGACTCAAAAACTGAATGAGGAGCCTATTTAAAAATAAAAGTCAAGTATCTCATTCTGTGTTCATGCTACTGGTGAGCCAGTACTAAGGAAAAATGGGAAAGGAGTTAGGGATCAAGATTTATAATGTGTAAGTGGCAAAGACTTGAACTTCTACCTATCTATCCACTTATCTGTCTGTTGTTTAAATTCTTACAAATCTAGAGAACTGTATCTTTGAATTTGAAGGTGCTCTTCCTCCCCTGTAACCTGTGGTTTTGGCTCCATGAGGGTGTCCTGTGCTACCAGTTGTGTTCCTGCTGCTGCCTCTCCCTGCTTCTTCTTTCATCATTTGGAACCTGTGCTTAGTTTTGCCTAAGGCCTATGTTGTGGCTGAGCACCTGATCCCTCTGCTAGGGCTGGGCAGAGTGTGGGTGAAAAACAGTGCAGAAGTTAAAAACCTGCTACACCAGCTAGTGGGTGCTTGCTTTTAGTGGAGTGGTGCCAGCTGTGCTGAATTTTCACACAGAAAAATCAAACTCAGGTTTGGAACTTCCCCTTAGGCTTTGAATTGTTAATGATCTTGGCATCTCTTTTAGCCTTTACTGTTTTTCTTGCATTTTGGAGATGAGAAGGCAGCGAGACCTTACAGTGCTATTGAGACTCATGTTTTCTTTCCTCTTTTGTTTAGCACTGTCAGAAATCTCGTTTGGACCCGACTGTCTCTCACCTAACCTGCTGTGGCTTCCTTTGTCCACAGTCCAGCACAACTTGGGTGCTGCAGGCTCTGTCCCATGTCTACCCTGTCGTTGCCTCTTCACTGGTGATGGCAGTTTGGCTGCTATCTTGTCTGATAAGCAGCTTTTCCGTTTTCCCCCCCAAATGTGGAGCAATATGGTAGCTAACACAGCCTTAGAAAGGGATTTATTGTCCATTGTTGTGGTAGATATTTTACTGGAAAATGCAGTGTAAAGTTCTGGAATGTGACAGAGTGGGATGGAGTAGAAAAGGCAGTAGAGGGGACCTATGGCTGCAGCTGGGATTAGAAGATGCTGCAGCTTCACCTCTCTAGTGGAGTTAGAGAAAAGCCATTTAACAGCTTGAAGATGTGGTAAACCACCAGCTGCCAGTTGTGGAGATGTGAACAGGTAAAACTGAGACAAGAGTTCAGAGAATGGTGGAAAAAAAGATCAGGAAAAAAAGGAGCAAAGTTGATCTAGAGCCTTAAAACTACAAAGCAGAGTCTGGATTGTACTTACAGTCATGGAAATGTTTTATAATTGCTGGAAGGGCTTTTTGCTGTGATTGCTTGGGACTTTTTGCATTTGCAGTGCTACTCTGCAAGATGGATCCTGCAATTGCTTTTTCAAGTCTTGCTTCTTAAGAAGATGGAGTAATTCTGCAACTTGTATTGCATAATAGCAGTGCCTTTTCAGTGGGAATATGGAATAGTTTTTAAAGAAAAAGAATGTTCAATATGGGCCAGAGTGGTGCCTGCTTGTGCATCAAAAGTATAGAACAAACCTCTTAATAGGAATGTGATCTCTTACTCTGACCATCTAAATATTTGCTCTCCATTGTTTGAAAGTTGTTTTAGCTGCATTTAACTTTCTTGCCTCCTCCTTTGCAGAATTTTTCAGTAAAGTCCTATTAAAGCAGAGAAGCTAAATCAGAAAATGAGCAGTCAAACAGCTCTGCTTCTTGATTCTTTGCTGAGAAGGGATCAATGTGTTATTCAGCATTTGCTCAAATGTAGATGCCTTTTTTTTTTTTTTCTGCATGGGCATCTTTGGATTTCCATTCCCTCTGCATATTTTCACTCCACTGTTTGCTTTAGTTACCACAGTCTTCTCCCCACCCTCTTCCTTTCTGCTAACAAAACCAGGCCCACGTAGCCATTGGAGAGTGATTTGTTTTACTTCTTTGTATAGCATAATTTCTGCTGTGGGTGCTGATTCAGGAGAAGGATAATTTCAGGATAAAATCTGAAGTCGTCTAATTACTGGGTTTTAGCAGTTGCTGACTATCAATTTAACAATAGTAGTAAACAGTGAATGAATTGTTATTTGTCTTGCCCCAATTGCGTGGATGAAAAACTGTTTGGTTAAAATACTCTGACATTTCAATTCATGGGCTTTGTCTTGCAATTGGCATGGTCATTTAGTTACTGTAATTCAAGCAACAGGCAGAACCCGGTAAGATGTGGTACTTTAAGGTGGGATTGTGTGCCATGAAGTCTGGTCAAAGGCTGTGGCTGCACGACTAAGAAATGATTTTTTTTTTTTTCTTTTAAAAACTGAGCACATAAAATTATTTTTTAAAAGTTGAACTTCCTCTGTTTTTTCCTCCTTCCCCAAGTACAATTTTCTGTGTTAGGTATCAGATAAACCTGACTTTAGGTAAACACTGTGTTTTCTTTCAGATACAATGAAGATTATTCACCAAGCACACAAGTCTAAGGTATGGTTATCTGTATTCTTCCTGTCTTATGTGCTTTAATGCAGGCAGATCTCTGCACTGTAAAACAAACCTGGAGAAGAGACAGTAAACCCTATTCCTACCTTTGTATTCTGGTTCTGTAATTTGTAGACGAATGAACTTGTAGTGAGCCTGGAAGATGACGACAGACTCATTTTGAAAGAAGAAAGCACGCTGAAGGCAGCTGGAGTAGGTAGGAGTCCATTTGTATTGTCTGAAGCCGCTGTTCCTCGAGGTTGTCATTAAACTGATAACCGCTTGATTATGTTTGGATAGCCTGCTGCAAAGCAAATGCTATTCCTCCTGCTCTTTACACTACCTGATAATTATTCAGGGAAGAAGGGGGAATAATGTACATTCAAATCATTGGACCGAGGGCAGCAGGTATCTGCACTCCGAGTGTTCGGAATGCAAATTGTGATTTTTAGACGGTATGCTTATAATTCTGCTGAGAGTAATTTTAAATGATTGGCAGATAGGTTATTAGTACCATGTCTGCTTAGTCTTATAAGTAACATTTAGACTGATGTTTTGGTTAGAAATGTAAGTAGTGGAGCCAGCGTGGAATAATGAAATAAGATTAGATTTGTTTAACGTGCGAGACAGTGTGCCCAACAGTCGTGTTGCTCAGGAAAGCTCAAGCAGCATTTAGAGAATGTGCTGAACGTAGCACAGAGCTGAGACTTGACCAGATTTCTCACATTTGGGCAGTGAAGTGAGTATAAGACATGTCTTTTGGTAATAATGTAAAGAAATGTTTGTCATGCTAAAATTGATGGTCCCTGGAAGTCCTCTGGGCTCTGCATAAGAGGGACTGAATTACTTCATGGCAGCAGGGATGTGCTTTGTTCACCTTGCTATGGACACTCGCTCATTTTGGTGTGATTTGCCCTGCTGTCACACACGGCTGCCTGTCCTCTCCATGCGGAATGTTCCTTCTTTCTCATGGTTTCCTTAGCCCTTTTGTTTCATCTAACCAAACATGTTTGGAGCAGTGGAGCTTCTGCCTCTGGTCAGCTGGAGTGCTTTAACTCAAAATGTTTTTGGTTATGTTGCATTATGTTCTTCTAAGCAACCCCCTTTTGTGGCTACAGCAAGCAAAAATAAGCTTATTCTTTAAGGGGGTGTGTGTGAAGGAAGGGGACTTGCTTTTCTTTTAGTCATTTATTTGGTTTAATTTCTGTTTCTCACATTTTCCTCGTGGCGGATGCTCTGCCATTACTTTGGGGGTTTAATTGAGGTGGGGTGGGAAATCTGCCTAAGTTTTAAGAGGCAACACAGGAAAGTCCTCATGGCAATGCAAATGTTGCATTAGAGTTTGGTATTGTCCAGCACTGCCCTCATTCAGAACAGCATTGCCAAGTATTTGTGTATATATATTGTCCACCTGTTAAACCAGGTTTGCAATTCCAGCAGTGAAACAGTTGAATGCGATCTCAGGAAAGATGCCTAGATGTTAGAGTAAATAATGTAGTGAAAACAAATGGGAATAAATGAGACTGTTCTGTTTCTCTGTTCAAAGAGAGGGGTGGCTTAATCAAGGAAGAAAACAATCTAAAGCTGCTCTGTAATTTTTCAAAATAACTTACAGCAGTGAATCACAGCCTAGCTGGCATTTAGGATAGAAAAGAAGAACTCTTACTTTGAAAAATGCAGCATGCCATTATACCATTTTGAATCTTGCTGTGTTCCAGCATATCTTG